TTCCAAGCAAGTGGTTCGGTCAGTGACACTCCAAGGTCTGGTCGTCCTCGTGTCTCTACTGTGGTTGAAGACAATCGGATCAGAGTTCCAGACTTGCAGGATTGGTTTCAAACAGCTTCTAAAACTGTCAGAGATTGGGCTGGGCATAAACCAATCAGCCGCTTCACCGTTTGTCGACGTTTGAAAGCCCACTGAATCGTTGCCCGACACCCACCTTGACGCACTCGTCTCCTCCAAAGACACCGTCATGCCAGACTCAACTTGACACGTCTGCATCGGCGATGGCTAAACCGCCAGTGGAACAGAGTGATGTTTTCTGACGAGTCCAGATTTCTTTTGGATCACCACGATGGAAGGCAGAAAGTCTGCCGGAGACGTCATGAACGTTATTTACCTCAGTGTGTCAGTGCTATTGCTGACAAACGTAGCATTCTGGTATGGGAATCCATAAAGCACCTCTGGAACAAGATGGAAAAGGAAATTCGCGCACTTTGGCCACCCCCAATGACAATCCCACAACTGCAGCAATCACTAATTGATGCTTGGAATAATACTCCCCAGCAATTTATCCAAAGACATATGCAATCCATGAAGTGGAGATGCACTGTAGTCATCAATGCTGGTGGGAGATACACCTGTTACTAATTCTGGGATTTTGAACATTCGAATAGTAATTATTAATTTCTAATAAAAGGTGTGCTTTTGATCGTTTTTCTTAGTCTTTTGTCTGCATTTATTGAGAAAATGGCAAGTCTTTCAAAATCCATTGGCAATACGGCATTACAACGGCAAAGAAGGGAAATAATGCACAGAACGGAGGGTGCCCACTTTCTTTTGCTCGTCAGTATATATGAACTCGCATAATTTGGAAACAGATGAGGTCTATTTAAAAATAGAAAACAGAGTGACGTCTAATTAAGTTTATGAAACAGAAGAAAGATATCAAAAGCTATATGTTTCTGTCCACATTTTTAACAAGTCAAAATGCAGGTGAACAGAACCTTGAAGCTATTTTATTAAGAGTACACAAAAAGTACCCTCAAAATTTTGCTGCAATCATAAGAATGTGGCAAGTTATTACTCGTATGTAGAAACTCTAAAAGCTCTTGATTTAATTTGACTGCAGTCAAATATTTTACAGTTGAAAGAGTGCACAACTCATACAACATTTCAACATCTCTCTAATCTCTTTTTAAAAAGTCAAATAATGCATTTGTCACCAATTTTAATAGCATTTTGAGTTCACTTCCATTTGAAAAGAGTCTTTATCTGTTGTTTATGCAAATAGTAGCACTGAGTATCAAGTTTAATAAAAACAAAAGGCTTTAAAGTGATAAGAAACATGATTATGACTGAGAAGAATAAAAGAAGGTAGAAACCCCACAAAAACTCACAAGTGGTACAATTCAGCCAGTTGCTCTATGCAAACAAAAGTTACAATTTATTTGTGACACAATCCGTTAGGAAAATGCTGCTAGACATTATCCCCCATCCTGTTCTAAACACAAAGAGCTAGAGATAAAACAAACTGCCCTCATATCAATCGACATAAAATGTACTCTTTGAAAGACAGAAAATGTCTTGTCCATTAAACCCCCCCCCCCCAACAAATCGCCTATAGATAAAAAATAGAATAACCAATTATCTCACAAAAATCAGATCCACCTCATCTCATAATAAACTAAATAATCAACAGACAAAAAAAACTGACCTCATGAAAATCAATGTCGAAGTCGTTGGGCAGTAAAGTATGGTAGACATTTTCCAGGCTGAGTACGTAGAACTGGCCAGTTGCTTCAGAGAGATACAGGTTGACCTGATTACCATGATTGACAGCCACAAAAACTTGACCATCATCAACATCCAGCAACATAAAGTCCTGAAAAAAAATTTATCAAGTCAGATAAAATTAGAAAGCTCTAAATCAGTTTTACCCAACAGTTCATGCTTTAAAACAATTTACTGTGATAATAGGAGACTGCAAAATATATGAGTTGCTCCCCTTATGTTTTGTCTTCGTCCATTTGCTTATTTGCTTTTCTGACCCACTCCATACTTGCTTTTACCTTTCAACAATTAGGCTGGCTAAAACACTCAAAAGTTTTCCTACAGTACACAGAGCTCATATACACAGGGATTTCTATTATGCTTTTGACTACTCACATCAATGAAAGAAAGGATTGGCACAATAAACAACATCTGTTATCACATGGTCAACTCACATCTGTTTTCAAGTCACTCGGGAAGTAGGCTCTCTTAAAGGGACCTCTCTTATAGGAAACCAATAAATAGTCTTCCGATTCCATGAAGTTTGACTTCTGAAAGAGAAACATTTTGTTGAGTGATTTTGTGATTAAAACCAAACATTTGACCTAATTTTTTCTCCCATTACATGAAACTATAAATAATCACGGATATACAATTACATTTTCTTTGTTCACACAATTTCAAAGTGTCACCATAAAAAATCTTCATCAGAAATCCAAGTAGGCAGTTCAGTGATAAATTCAAAGTTGTTAGATTTTGATGAAAACAGGCTCAAATGAAAGGTCCTGCCACACTGATCACAGTGCTTTTTGAATTTTGTCAATATCTGTATTGGTTGAGAAGGTAAGGGATTTTTTCTACTTTATTTTTCGCTCAAAATCTGGTCCTTTTTCGCAATGTGTTTTGCAACTAAAGGTGGACAAAAATTGACAAAAATGTACATATCTTCGCAACCAGTAAAGATATCTTCCTGTTTTTTTTTGCATCAAATTAAACGTTATTATCTGTACTTTCATATAAAAAAAAACATACAAAGTTTAGTGTCATAAATCTTAGGCTTGTTTTAAAGATAAAGAATATTTCTAACTGCTAGAAAAGTTACAAAACTGCCAGGCAAGTGGGGAAAAAAGATATCAAAAATTGAAAATTGGCTTAAATTCAAATCAAAATATCTCTGGCTCCACTAGTCGGATCTGCCAAAGGAAGAAGCAATTTTGTAGATGATTTAAAATCTACAAAACATGTATTGAAAGTAGTGGTCATCACTAATTAACGAAACAATATTCGCGATTTTCTGAGGACACCAAATCGCCGTGCGCTCACGGTTTTCTACCTGAGGCGAGGGGCCGATTTCGCCGCTAGCTGATCTCGTTCACTGAACTGCCTAAATAAACAATAGCAAAAATGATTTATACCTAATCAAGAAGGAATATTGGAATGCTCTGAAAAAGAAGCACACAAATCAAAACGAACCATGAAATCACCACAGAAGCAAACATGAATACCACTCAGAATGAAAACTAGAAATATTCTTTACAAAAAATTTGCATGAAGTAGATGAGATGAACCAAATACTTTTTAAACTTTAACACTACCAGTATCAAAAAAAGAAAGACAGAGATGCACATGAAAAGAAATCTTGGGACTGAATAGAGTTTTGTCCCAATATACTTGCTCCAGGTTCAAAAACCTGTTTATGAAACAGCCTGAATCTGCCTCAAATCTGATCTTGAACAAAATGATAAGAATTATCTGGCCAAGTACTACTCAATAACCTACCACGCATTACAGGAGCTGGGAATGAGGAACGAGAGAGTCTGAGAGGGGAGTTCAATAAATAGGCAACAAAACAAAATAGATTATGAACACAGTTTATCATCATGATCTCCCATTTCTCTTCAGTAGCAACATTATGGTTACCATCAGCATGATCCTCATTTTCACTTATATCATTATCTGTAACATTAGCATTTCCACAATTTGTGGATCCGTACAGTTAAATGAGTTTTTCCTTTTGGTGTTTCTCCAGACTCAAACGAAAATTTTCCTATAATACTTTGGTTCGGCCATTGTTCAGCACAATTTTGTATTTAGCTTCAACTGGCAAAGATGTGGCACCCAAAAAAAATAAATCCGGCACAGCGCCGAAAACTGGCCGAAATCGTGCCTCTTAGTTTCCCAGGCCAGCGACATCTGGAAGTCATTAAATCACTGTCGGAATCGCCGCATGCCGGGTTACGCGGGCGTCACTGGCCGCTCGATTGCGCATCAGTTACAGGCGGGCAGGTCATCGCGTAATCGACACTTTTGATACTAATTATCGGCAGTATCCTCACTCTAACCACGAATTAGTCCATACAAAAAGAAAAGAGCGAGATTCCCCCTCTCAGTCTGCGAAAACCCGATCTCAATGCGACGATATTTGCTGATGTTACAGTGTGTGCAAAATGTTCTCAATTTCATCGAATTTAATATGTGTGTGCTGCACTTAATTCACTTTTAATTTTCAAAGTTCCTGCTCAATCTCAACAAATTTTGGTACATGCACTGATGACATATTTGAACTTTACAAGTGTAATTTTCATCATTGTTTGAAGAATAGTTATTTCAATATTAAGTCGTTTACATCTGATTCTCATCCAGTGCCTTGTTATTTGGCCCCTGCAACTGTATATTCTGGATTCTATGCTGTTATAAATTCAACAGTTCTCCATTAATTTAATAGATTTTTGTTTCTATGAAAGACAGACACATTTGTGCTTACTGTGTATAAATTATTTCATCTTTGTTGACTGAGCTATGTTACGATATTATGTAGAATCCATTTGCCCGAGATTCATTTCTAGCAGGTTTACTGAAATCTCCCAATGGAACACACACATGAGAGAAATTCCTCCTCCCTGAATGAACTTTGTTGCGCGTTGCGGGTGTAAGAACGTGACTAAAGTACAACAGAGGCTGAAAAGAAAGGCTAGGACATGTGAGTCATTGCAAAGGGAAATTTTATGATTCAATCATTGTTGACAACGAGCACATTATAGGTTGATTTTCGACTCTCTCAAACAAGCATACAGTCAAATTCATAATGACGTCTCACACAGCGCACCTATTCCGAAAACCTCTATTCCAGCAATTCAGAAAGCAATAGACACGTACATGAAACTGTACAGAAGACATTTTCCAAAAAAGAAAATCCCCAAACAGCACATTTTAGAACAACACTGCATTCCATTCATAACACAACACGGCTTTGACCTGGGCCTGCTGGGAGAACAAGGAACCTAAAGCTGTCACCAGTTTATTTCAAAAATTGAAAAGCGGGCTCAAGGCATTGTAAACAGTACGGAAAAACTACAATACTTTATGATCGCACATTTGCTCCAGACAGCACCTTCACTGCGCATTGAGGCTGCAGGCACCGAGAAACAACCCCGGCGCCATAGATAAGCGTATAGATGTACAAGATGTGTAAATAGATCTGTGTCATTAATTTAATGAAAGATACTGTAATGTGAATTTCATCACAAGCCCAACGAATTTGGCTGTTGAGCAAAAATACAAAAATGTGGATTACTAATCTTCCAACAATGATGTCCTTTGGTAAGTAGATGTCCACATTAATTGTCTTTATTCAGAGCGAGTCTTAGTGAATTTTATCCAGTACTTTGGTAGTTACATAACTTTTAATTCGGTGTATATTAACTTAATTACCACATAATAGACGGCTGTATTTGATCACATGCAGTTAAAAAATTATACTAGATATCATTGTAGCGTTTTCACAAACTACATTGAAAGTAGAAACTCAAAGATGGAACAGTATGTGTATATTGATAGCCCTGCTTTCATTCATGAGCGTTGAAACAAAACTGTGTAAAATTGTATGTAACCCTGTGCGTGGAGTGAGCGCAGGTAGACTGACCAGTAGCTGACCCCGGTCACGCTGACCTAGCAGCGTACAGCCTGGCGAAACTAAATGACCGCTGATTCGGCGCTGTGTCAGACACAGGCCAAGACAGATGAATGTCAACTACCATCATCTCTAAAACTTTTCTCAATGCCTTAAAAAAACACACATTATGCAATGATCCCCTGATGGGCATACACAAGGTTTAACAAATGTGCTATCAAAGTCTACATTATGCTTTAGCAAACACACTGCTGAAGAGCTAATCGACACTACTCTTATTTTGCCTACAGAATCCACATTGACATAACCCCTTCATTGCGTTATGATGTATCATGAAAATACGTAAGTTTTAGTTTTGTGCCATACCATGGACATTACAGAAATTGGCAAAAATTGCTGCTCCTGGTTGTCTTTAAGACGTTACATATATGTCACACTAATCATCTGGCTCTAATTCTTCTGTACAGAGTTTGAATTATGCAATAAAAATGCCCATATCAGTATCAAACAGGCTAGTATTAGTTTACTGCTAGACTTGCAAGCCACTAATTAACACGCGACTAGTCTCTTAATATGTAAACACCAAAATGACTTAAAAAGGCAGAAAATTTCACTTTTTGACTCAGATTTGCAAGTATGGGTAGTAGGATAGGGGATATACCGAATGAGGAAAGAGGAAAATAACATTATCGAAGACCTGGGGTCCAAAGTATGTAATGAGTGGGCTAGATCTAGACAGTGAGTCCACTAACACAGAGACATGAGACTGCTGTCCTGGCCAAGGAGCTTAGACGAAAATCAGTGCTGACAGTAGGAACGCACATCCTCTGGCAACGTAGGGGTTGAAACAAAAGTAGTGGACATGCTTTCATGAGAACTGAGGCCTTGAGTCTCTTACAAAAGCATGCATTACAAGACAGAACTGCTTCCAGAAGTGAACTTGCATAAAAAGCAACAAATTATCATGCCACATATAAAATACTAGTGACCTGAGAATCAAGTATAGAATCTATTGCACTTACTTGAATGAACATGTACTCCTTGTGCACTTGCAGGGTACCTGACAAAAAGGGCCCTACACCCTGTACGTCTTCTTGTGTCCTGGTACATTTTGGAGCGATGCAAGATTTGTAGATGGCTTGTGATGGTGCTGAAATGAGCAAAACCAATTAATTTAAATGAACAAATAATAGTAGGTGTCTTTTATTTGACACCCCTGAAGGATCATATGTTAATGGTTAAATTACTATAAAAAAAGGTCCCTGAAGCTTGAATATATGGATTACAACACTATTGGCTGGATATGAAGATAGTATTAGAAACTTATCATGAAACAATTTGCAGTCAGCTCTCCACAGCAGTCACCTGTACTAAAGGCCACTGTTTCGTGGCACCCTTGTGCTTTTCCTTTATATTTTAACCTGTTTATAACAGTCCCTGTCCGCTGGGGTCATGGTAGGTCACCCGACAAGTTGGTCTCAAAACTTGCTTGTAGCGGTCACTCGCTATAAAACTTTTCCACATACTCGTCCCCAAACTGAGTGTGTACACTCAATCAACGCAAATAAGCTCTTATGATAGACAACAAGTTTGATGGAAATGAAATGGAAAGATAAAATTAAGATTTCAGATTTTACGCCATCCGTTGACTTTGTCAAATTTAGTAAGTGACCATAACTCAGTCATCTGTTTATAACGATCACTTTTCTCTGTGATCTAGAGTGACTGCTATGGATAGGGTCTACGGTGTGTTTAAAAAAAATTCTTTTTGTAAAAGTAAACCAGTCTCATAATGCCCAACTGTTTTCTTTTGATGCAAACATACTTGACAGAAACAACATCAATATCTTTGTCCACAGAATTTTAAAAATATGATTAGGTACTGATTAAAATGACAAATTAGAGGAAGTTTTCTACTTCTATACTCTACGTTTACAGTTCATACTTGAGCCAAGTTCTTCCATGTGAACCACATCGACGTCTGTATCATAGTCGGGATGTCCCCTGTGCAAAAAAGAATAAATATTGTTACTTCAAAACATTTTACAAAATTATCTGAAGGAAAGCTTGAATTATTTCTCACAGCGCACCAGCAGTGGAATTTTAGTTGACGCCTGGGATTCCCCATAGAGAACATTATCTCCTTGGTGACTTGAGGTCAGCCAGACACCTCAAATTGTTGGTACTTTTCCAAATGAACTTTGAGGTGTAGAAAGGTATTATTAGTAATCACCATCTCACCAATTCAGGGCATGCGATTCTGCTTTTTTTTTTGGTTTTTAAAAAAAATAGTAGAGGGCTTTACAGCGCTCGCAACTGCATAAGGTCATATGAGCGCCAAGGGGTGGATGTCAACAGAGAAGTCTTTACAGGGAATCAGACTTATTCTGCTCACCTCTCTAGCTTCAACAGCACAAGGTCTGCTTCGACTATCAAGGCACCCCAAAAGTAGCAGGTCACAAGAGAGTGACAAACATACAAAAAAAGTAGAGGAAAAATGACAATAGTGAGGATTAGGAAAGAAAAAGCAGCAGTTCCCTGTTGTAGATCAGGCACAGTTATGAGCGTGACATGAATCAGCCCATTTACATTTCTACTGTGCTTCAACGAGAAATGTCCCCCCTTTGAGAATGGCCTAAAGACACTACAGTCAGTGGCACTCTTTGAGAATAATAGAATGGAAATATTTACTCCTTAGGTTATTCTAAAGTATACTCTACAAGCCAGCCATGTCACATTATGACTGGTTTTAACAGAAGATGAGAAGAAGAATTGTTATTAAAATTTATTTTTTAAAACTCGGAAGTACCCATGAGTAGGCATAAATAACTGAACACTGTATTCATGAACCTTACACAAAATAAAATGTGTAAGGGTTGTTTTTTTTATATACAGTGAGCCCTTCAATTATAATTTCTTCTTCTTCTGCATATCCCTGTTAGAACTAAGGTATAGTGTTCGCCTGTTCAATCTCCACAAGCATTGATTTTATTTCTCATGTTTTTCACACCACTCAGCCTAGGATAGGTAGGTTAGAGCACCAAGCATTTTTTATAAGAATGAAAAATTTTGGAGGCCCCAAAAGGAAGCTTCCCATCTTAAAGATCCCTTAGCGATTCGAAAATTATAAAAGTAGGTCCTTCTGGCCATCATCCGGGCAAAATTCAAAATTAATTCCAGCCCAAAACTGAAGCCACTCTGGTCAATATAAATACTGAGAGTACCTTCAAAAACAGCATCTGGCTGCCTGTCAGGTACGAGATGATTCTAGTCTTTAAGTCAATAAAACTGAAATGTGCATAAAAATTAATTCTGCACTGTGAGATTTATAAAAATCTTCCAGTCAATTACCCCCTGAGGATGAGGAGGAGGAGGAAGAGGAGGAGGAGGAGAAGAAGAAGTTTTAGACACACAGCAGAAAAATATTCAAACCAACGACAGAGAACATCAACACAATGTAAAGCAGAAAGGGTATGAGAAAATCATGTAATAAGCATTATAGATATGCAGTTTACAATCCTTTAACGTTTTCATTGAAAGAGAAATACAACCAACCACAAAACATGCCAGAGTAATAATGTGCAAACACATTTAATCAATTTTCAGTGATGTCTTATCATTTTATAATAGTCGTTAAAAGCACAACAGCATCTGTCTCATTGGCTGACTAATAAAGTTGATCTTATTTTAAGCTATCTTACTTGAGAGAAGTAAACCGTAACTACATCACAAAAATAATGTTATTTACTGAATTTCATCAGCAGGGAAACATTAAAATGGAGTCATCTGATTTTTAAATTATGAAGACTGAGGTGTAAAGCATTTTCAAAAGAATACATGACAGTCAACTTGAGGAGGAAGAGCAGTTGATCACCGAGCAAGTAGACAAAAATATAAAACAAATGGATAGAAAAGCCTGAATAAGACTCACGGATCTTACCAGTAGAACTTGGGGGAAACATTCTCTGCCAGCATTGTCCAAGAAGCCGCAAAGTCAAAGGAAACATAGAGCTGAGGAAACACAAATTACCTTTACTATAATTTTAAGTTTCTCATTAAATTGAGCTCTGTATCCCATTGACAATGACTGTAAATATTTGTGCCTCATGAACACAATTTAGATCATATGAAAAGCTGGCAGCTTTGAGATCAGCCAACCCTGGTTAAGTGGGATACAGCAACGCAGAAAAAAAAAGAAGATAATAAAACAGTATTCATCACCAGAGAATTGAGCTCACATCTTTTCCAGTAACAACAAAGAGTCTTTTTTTTTTTTGGTAAGTGTTTTACGGCGCTTGCAACTGCATAAGGTCATATGAGCGCACGGGACACACTTAATATTTTCAGTTGGGCCCTCCAAGATTTTTCGCCCTTGTCCGAGAAAGCTAGGTGGAGATCTTTCCTACCAAAAGATCAGGGGTGCGGCAGAAAGACAGCAGTAAGGAGGAGCCTAGGAGTAGCAGTAGAAAGGCTGCAAAAAGAGTCAGGAGCCCAGAGGAGGGGGCAAAGGAGGTGAGGGGGTGGGGGCAGAAAGCAGATGACAGAGCATTGCTGGAGAGCAGGAAAGGAGGTGAAAGGAGACAATTTTAGAGAAGAAAATTTTTCGGTCGCTACCCGGATTCAAACGCGGGACCTTTGAATGAGAGGCCAACACCTTAACCTCTAGGCCACGAGAGCCCCCTCACAAAGAGTCAACTCACTACAACCTTGATGCCAGTCCCCACTGACAACATTACATATGTTTTATATGGTGTAATGATTAAAGGTTTTGTACTGAAGACCAGAGATGTGGCAGTAACCTTCAAACATATTGCGAGTAGAGTTGGAGTAATTGCAACTTTTCATTTTTCTCGTGAAGAAAAAATAGCTTTTTGTTTGTTACTCAACTGACTACAGAGCTTTATTGCTGCTAATGAAATTAACGATGAGCCTCCCCTTCCAAACAATTTTCATGAATACTTCAACAGGCAAGTGGCTTCCTGTGGAGCTAAAACAAATGTCTAATCCAAATTTGGAGAAGCACAGACATTCTCTCACAGTTTTCAATATGTTATCATCACATAATTGTTATTATTGAGCTTTCTATTGTGCTCCCTGAACTCAGAAAGGTAATGGGAATAAAATGAAAGGTAGCAAGAGGATATAATACAAGTAAAAGTAACACGAGAAGCCCAATTTGATGAACAGCATGTAAATTAAAGAGAAAGCCCGTAAGTAACGAGAAATTCTATGGACAGCCAGCAAAATGCAACAGTAAAGGACTTAAGCTGATTCATCTATGTGGAAATGTCCTCTCCAGCACGCCTGGCTCTTATCATTAATGGTTTTTTTTGCATAAGAACATTTTTCCTAAAATGGTCTGCATTAATTGTACACGGCAAAGATTTTCTGACAGAAAACTGAATTTAACAATGCGCCTTATCACGTCGGGACCACAGGGGTCAGCTTCCTGTCGCCGCTCTGTCTGGGCTGACTTCATTTTTGGTACTTTTCAACGTACAGTTTTAGGTGTATCCTTGTATTTATGGTAATTATCATTTAATGCACCCAAAGAACCCATTTCTGCTCTTGAGACCCAAAAAACAATAGACATTGTAACTTGTCTGGTTATTTTGTTAGACGCGCTGAAGTCCGTAATGCTAAATTGTAAAATTGTTAGTACAAGAGTGAATGAAAAAAAATCAATATAAAATAAAAAGCACGACAAAAACTGTCAAACTTTTGGAACATGAACGACATAACATTGGTGCAGATACTCAGAAAAGATGGTATCTGCGCGTATAATAGGAAGCTGTATTTTTGCAACTTTATCCATCTGGCACACAATTCGCTATGAAGTAATTCCTCCAAATCCAACTTTATGTGCCTAATATAATCGGGAACAGATGCATATTTTCTCTAAAGTTTATCAAAATTACCCTGATGTCTCTCTATGAAAAAGTGCAAACCGATTTTAGTGCCAGAATACATCTACAACAATGTATTACACGAACAGTGGGCTATCGGTTACACTCCATAAATTATTCCTTATTTTTCTTAAAACACTAGATCTAGGTGTTGTAAGTTGACTGAATAACAGGGATGACTTCACGTGATTGTATTATAAGAATAATTTCTAGCTTTCCAGTGACACTGAATCAGCACCAGGCTTTTCCAGCTTGTATTTTCGTTTCTATAGCCATTTGCAATAACTGACAATGTTCTGATTTCTTTACATTCATAAGTGCCGCGCATATGTCCGACACAAAAACTAAGAATGAATGTGTTAGCTGTCATTATTTTTATTCCATACAAGAAGTTAATCTCTACCCATGTATAAACACACTTTTGTGATTTTTAGAAATCTCATAATATATCTTTCTTAGTTGTATGCAGACACAGCATGATTCATGAACAAACGCAAAGTAACTTTCTCTTGTTTAATGGTAGGACAAGAGCTAACGCTGAGTGTCTTTAGTTAAAAAATGCAGATGTGCATCTTTCTTCTCTTATAACTTGACTATTACTACTCGCGCAGATTTAAGATTTCTCATGGTAAAAGACATGATATTTGTAGTCAATTTAACACAGATTTTGGAGAGATCTGTCATGCCTTTTTAAAATAAACAATAATTTATTCATAAGTATGTAACTAAAATAGGACAAATTGAGTACTCTACAAACACTTATCTAGAACAAAAACTGAGGCACAGAAATTAACCATTCTAACGCAGAATAAATCTCAAGACACTGAACTTTTAGAACATGCGCGTAATGGTTAGCTGTGTGGAATGGGGAAAAAGTTATATTGTTTCAAAACTTAGACAAAAATACGAACTTCTTAACCGACAGCAGCAAAGTCGCTTCAGGGCTCATTAACCCCGTTACCCTGAGCCGAGGAGCTCCGGCAGGCTGCTGAGTCACGCTAACTAAACGTGACAGAATCGGGCAAAAAGTGACGCCGTGTGTAAGGCTGGTGCACCTGAGATTACCAACAACTGAGTAGTCCTTGGACGGAGATTTGGGAAAAGTCAAGGTGCAGGGTTAAAGGGTTAATTGATCTATCACTACATGTAAAAGTCAACAGTTTACTACAAATACAATTCTGATCTCAGAACAAGATATCTCTGGAATTAACGCTACATTTTCATGCACCTAAATGATTTTCAGACAATCATTTGCCAATAGAATGTTGATTAAATTTCACTGCAACTTTTCTCCTCTACTGAAACTTCAGATTTGAGCTAGGTAACTTATTCTCTTGGATTTAAGGCACAGAGGAAATAAACTAGAAGCCGCTACCTGTCTATGGCTTAAACTGTAGAGGAGCAGTTTCTTATCATCCGAGGGGTGTGTCAACACAATGTCAGGGTCTACAGGCACACTGTGGTGGTGAACATGCTCCAGCTCATCTGCAGTGGTGTACAAAACACGGGCTTGCACATCTGTGAACAGTAGCTGAAACACCAGAAAACACAAAAGGATGAATCATAGCAGGGATCTTTTCAGATTTTTTCCAACCATTCTGTGGAAAGGGGCTACACAATTTAATAAAGGGTAAAAAATTTAGTAATTCGTTTGCAGTATCTGGATAGTAAATGAGAAAAGAAGTAAAGTATAACGTTCCCTTGCTGATGTGTGTTGATCATGGCAATGCCCAAAGAAACAGCTTACAGGTCCTTTTTTTTTGTTTCATAGTTTAGGATATATATGTATATCTATCAGATGACAGGAGTTACTTTCAAATAAAAAATTTGCGTGTTATCGAAAGATAACTGGTATTTTTACAGCATGATGTATTATTCAAGCAAGAGCAGACACAGTACTTGAGTGATAATTTAAAAAAACAACCACAACATAAAACTATAAAGTGCAGGGGACTCATTCATGAACAATCTATACATATCCAATGATGTTGTAACATACAACCTCAGTGAGCATTATATACACCACTTTCCACCCATTTTTTAATGCATTTCTTAAATCCAACAGCCTCTATCAAAGATCCCAGTCACTGGGACACACAAAAAAACCCCAGGTTGAGAGGACCAAGTCCAGATGTACATCACAGAGCTCTGTGGACTCAGCTCATCCTATTCAGCTCCCTCATTGCCCTATATCTCTATTCTCAGGTGAAATAGACTTGTTGGCAACAGTAATGCCTAGGCCAGGGCAAGATCGACTCTGGGATCGATTCTTTCGACTCCAAATGAGGACTCAAAGAATCGATCTTGTTCCATGTTCCCAGACTCTAAGCTTCGAGTCCGCCCAGGGTCGACGCCTCCCGTCTCCTTTTTTTTTAGCCTGGTTCCTAGCCTAGACTCCGAGAATCGAGGCAAGAATCTAAATCTCTACCTCACTAGCCTATTACAGTCCTGTCATGGGATAGGCCTAGGCCTAGGGCTGTCCCACCCCACAGTCGAGTTTTTTGCTTCAAAACAGACACCGCACCAGGACGGGACT